AACCTTTGAATAAAGAGGTGGGTCCTTTCATGGACGAGAGATCTTCACCTGACTTTGTCCCCCCTTTTCAAGAGTACTTGATTCAAGAGAAAAACCACACTTTATTTTAGTTGGTCCTTGATTAGCCTTGTTTTCCTTTTCCGTGCCCCTTGTTCATGAGGCCACACTTCGCGGATTTAGACTTATTTCGTCTTGTGAGTGGAACCTGTCAGACGGTGGAGGAACATCCGCAAAGAAGAACGTCGTCCGGAGCTGTGTCAACTTGTGTGTAAACAAGGGGACATTCGTGTTTTGTCTCGCAGTCTACGTTTACAGAAGACTACGTGACCATAACACAAAATTGTGTCAGAAGTCCTGTCGAACCACAGGAATAACTAGTAATGTGTGACTGGGACCCAAGGGTGTGACGAGTGTGAACTGTATGACCGCATTCTCTTGTCTTCCTTAAAGTTTGTAAACTGCAAGACACCGGAAGTCGTAAAGAAGTCAAACTACAATCTCTCGTACTGAGTCGCAAAGCGAGCTGTGTACTTCAATAACAACCCCACTGGGTGAATTGCAAACCACGCCCCGCAAAACTCTGAAAAGTTTTGTGAAGCCGCCATTGTATTTTCTGGCATAAGCATTATTAGAATTAGCATTAGCCCCGCGCACCAACGGAGAGAGACTAACTTATGACAACACAAAAAAAAACACGTTGTTTACGGCCTGCCAGTAAACCCAAAGAAGAAGAAGTGACGTCAACGGCTTCATTTGTGTAATCTTCCCTCAGGGAAAAGTACTCGGGGTGTGAACGCGATCTGCTCTTTAGTTCCATGGGGGAACTAAGTGCTGGGAACTAAGTACGGCAAAGTACTTGGTGTGAAAGCGGCTAATGTATCTGATAATGGGGTTATCATGCGTGGTTTTGTAACCGAAAAGTGCATATACTGTGTGAAAATCAAAAAAGTCACATAAAGCTGCCTCTCATAGGCTACAGTTTAAAGGTCCCATATTAGAGTTAGATTTTAATGCGTTTTTATTATGTTAATTCTGTAAGAGTATTCACAAACCTTGCCCTAAAACAGAGGTGGGGAACCTTTTTCCTCTCAAGGGCCATATACATTTTTTCAACATCCTCCAAGGGCCGTACAAATTATTGACCTCTGCTTAAAAATACTAAAATCACAGCCCATTAATTTCGCCTTTCTTTCATGCTGTGCAAAGAAAAAGCAACCTCTTAATCCAGATATCTTACCATGACTCGTGCATGCATTGACGTGCACTGTGTGGCATGACCACCCAAACAGAAAGATATGGACACAATGTGTGTGCACATGTATTTAGTTTCCTGATTTAAGTGGGGGGGACCTAACTTCCTCTAGGGGGGTCCGGGGGGCATGCTAAAATGTTGAAGTTAAAAGCATCAATCTGGTGCACTTTGAGAGCAAAATGAAGAGATCTATGGATACATCTCTCAACACCCATATGAAACAGAACTGTAAGCAGATTCATTTTTTTCTTTATGGATATTTTACAAATCACTCCCCTTTCAAACTATATTCTTGTTTTTTAATAACAACTTTCTTTTACTGTCATATAGTATTTTACATCTGTTTACTTTATTCTCTTATTTTTTTATAACTATAATGATCATATAAAGATGTGCCTTTACCTCACTGGTTGTAGAAAAAGCTTCTTATATTCGTTAGCATAGCTAGCTAACCAGATGCTAATAACAACAAAGTTATTGACTGATGAACAGATCGCCACTGGGCTTACAACTAAAGACACAGCCACGCAAAAACTGTGGCATGTGTACAGCTCCTTATGGGTACTGCAATTTGTGAAGTGCCGAGCGACGTTCTGGTGCTCTCAGTCAGAACTGCACCCCTGTCAAACGAGACATATACCACGTTATGACACGTTAAGCTCGTGTTGTGTTCAAGGAACCAGACCTTGGGTAGGAAAAACAGGCACTCGCCTACATTTAAATAATCATAAAATCATAAGAACATGGCCATAACCAATATTAAAAAAACATTGAAACTTATTTATTTATTTATTTTCGGTTCATTTAAAGTTGCGAGAGTGTCTGGGCTCCTGAACCAGCCTCACCCGTCTTCCTCCTCTCCTCCTGCTCCTCTTTGAGGCAGCAGCAAATACTTTAAAAGTGTATCTTACCTTTTTTCACCTAGTTAACATTTTCTTTCTTCTTATTCATGCATATTTTACTAATCACTCCCCGCTCAAATGGAAATATGTGTTTACATAAATGGTGACCA